ATTGGTTGTCATGGCCACCAAGGAAGATTCTCCATGGTTGCCAAGGCAACAGCTTGGGGAACTCTTTGCCCGGTCCGTCACCCGTCAGGGGGGGGATGAATGCCGGTGACATATGTGTGTGTTTTTATGGAGCGTGTGTGAAGGCGTTTGGGTGAAAGTGGGAGGGCTGTGCTGATTTATAAGGACAGAGTCTGGGGATGAACGGATGTGTTGTTTCGGAGAAGCAAATAGTTTATCACAATCCTTCTTTTATTCACCCATCTCAAGTATGTCTTCATGTATGCAGGAATGTGTCACGCGTCCGTGTGAACACGTGTGTGTTTTTGTGTTGCCCATTCGGACCGGGGACAGCGGGAAAGAGTGAAGTAGGACCCAGTTGCCATGGCGACGCCATCGGCTTCCTGTCGAAGGCGCTCGCCTCCGCCAGCGCGTGAGCTCCCCAGCGTAACAAACGCACGTATGTAACACACGTGCGCACAAACATTGAAAGTAGCTTCAGTGTAAATGTGCAGACGTCCAACGCACTGTTGTTGAATGTCGCTGACGTTCGTGCAAACTGATTCCAATAATCTAAATGGAGCCGCGCTGTCGCTTTCCCCTCCCATTTCACTCCCCCCGCCGTTTGTTTTCTGCTTTTATTCCCCGCTCTTCATCCTCCTCTCCCTCTCTCTTTCTCCTGCCCTATATTCAAGCTCTAATCTGGTTCCAGTTGGACTTCTTGTCTGACTCCAGTAATCTTGTCACGACAGATGGTCCACACACACACACACACACACACACACACACACACACACACACACACACACACACACGCTGATGCACACTCGCTCTCTCTGTGACCCAGATTGGCCAGAAACTGGGATCAGGTCAGATACTTGGATCTCGAATCCCCCATCCCGCCCCAGCACACACCCGGCTGTTGACCCGCAGTCTGACCGAGGAGGAGGAGGAGGAGGAGGAGGAGGAGCTGCCATCGACAAGTCGGCAGATCGATGTGAACGTTTTCTTCCTTCGGATGTCAGATGCAACGAGCAGCGTTTTCAGTGTCTTTAAGTCTCTCTGGATATTTAAGTGCGTGACGAGTTCATGTTGGTTTTGCAATTTAAATAATAGTGATTTCAGAGCACAGTTTCCGTGGTCAAAGATCATCCGACCAACGCAAGCGCACAGCTCCTTAGGAACACCTTTTACCTTTTATTAAGAATGTACTGTTTCTATCGGTTTCCTGCAGGTTTTGGGAGCAGTAAAATAAAACTCCCTCTCGTACGTTCACGTGGTATGTGTGAGATGGTCCACACATACGGCTGGACGGAGAGAGGTCGATCATCCAGATGACTAAAAGTAATATTTCACCTCAATGGTTTCGATGGTAATCAAAATATTGAGTTGAAAGAAGCCGTGTGGAAGGTTGCTGCGTCCACGGTTTGTTGCGGTCGTACTAAAACGAACCGGATCACCGCGAGGATCATTTGTGTGTCCACTGACGGCCCGTCACGCATTCATTATGAACTCATCCATTCAAAAAGCGCCAGGAGCCTGTGACACACAACGGCCATGCAAGAAGAACCACGAGGGACTTGATGAATTGGTCGTCTTCGCGTGACAGACACACAACGAACACGCAGAACAACCCTTCTGTCTGTGCGTGATGTGAATAAAGACATCGGCAAAAAATACCTCGTGTTTTCCCTTGAACTTTCACGATGATCATCCCTCCATCAAGCGTCTCTTCACTGGGGGGGGGGGGGGGGTGTTGAGTGTGATTGAAAGAAAAAAGAAAAGTGAAAACGCGGATGAAAGTGGAGCCCGGAGGGCAGCGCGGGCCTTTGTGGTGACTTGTGATGGATCAGGGAGCTCGATCCTGGCCGCTGTAGATGGGCAGGTGGGATAAGGAGGGGAGCGGGTCGGCCCCTCGTAGTGACCACCCCCCCCTCCCCCCCTCCTTGGTAGTACTTTAATCCGTGTAGCTTCACTCCACAGGATGATAATATCAGCAATAACATGTTTTAAAAGAGGGGGTTAATGAGAGGAGATGTGCTAAGATTCAGCCGAATTAAGGTCAGCGTGGTTGTGTGGTGCTCTTTCAGTAACAATCAATAATCCCGTATCAATGTTTACTGATTCCTGCGACAGTTAAAGCTGCCTGACAACAGAGAGAGTTTCATTAGCGAGACACAACTGGTGCTTGTGCAGAAGTATCTGTGCAACAGATGGACACATTGGAAGTCTTAACAAGCAGAAACTGGTGGTAGCTGTAACGATGCATTACGTTAAGTCACATTACACCGATGCAGCTCTATGATTAAGTTTTTGTCCATTTCTGAATCACCAAGATGGATATTACAATGAGTTTCAGCAATATGTCATCATGACTGAAGAATCTTTTCATTTTTATTCGATTCACTTCTCAAATAAGCTTCCTCTGTCGTGACAGTAGGATGGAAAAAGTGAGCCTCAACAAGTGAACAGCGCAGGGGAAGTAATGTTGCAGGATGTGCAGGAATCGGGACTTGTTTATGGTCGAAGGTCAGCAGTTAATATGAATAAAGACACCGTGAACACCGCAGCACATCACTTAACACACAGTCACTGTCAATGATTGCGGTGTCGTCTTAGTCCAAAAGGTACAGTGTGCCAATAGATGGAAACACGTTCTGTTCCTTTGACATGCAGCGCGCATCCATTAGTGCACGGGGTGCGGTGACATCAGCTCCACACAACATCAATTACAGCGGTCAAACCGGCAGAACTATCAAGAACACCAACGTGGGAACTTTCAGTTGCAGTCTGGCTCGCACGTTACCAGCGTGTTAGTGAGTGAACCGCCTGTGCTGTTTCTGCTGCTGGGACCGCGACGCTTCACGTTGTTGCATGAAATCAGCCTCATTCAACGTGCCCATGGAAGGGCCCTCGTTTTTTTTAAGGAACGTCTCGACTAAAGCGGGACGATCTCAGGTGTTCCACAGCGTCGTGCACACTGGGTTCCCATGCGTGTTTCAACTGGGCACCCGGGGTGGGACAGAGCTTTCATTGTACCCTCCCACATCTCACCACTATGAGCACAGGTGTTGGTACGGACAGATGCATTGTGATACTGAATGTAATTTCCGGCTACAATCGTGGACCTGCATGTAAAGTAAAGCTCTCATTTGACTGGTCCGTCTTCGCATGGTTAGCAACTGAAAAACACAATACAGTTGGAAAGGAGCTTTTGAAGACTTCACTCCGAGGTCACATCGGATTGTCCCACATCAATATAGTTTAATTATAACACACATGCACAGATGGAATGGGTTTATTATTTCAAAATGGTCCTTTACTGCTTGTGGTTCTCCCAAATCCTCTTTTGCAAAAATGTGTGTTTTTTTGGGAAAGGTTCAACTCACGCTCCAGTCGAGCCTGCAAACCTGGAGGTCCAGCTTGATGGAGGCGGTGGAGAACCAGGACCAGGACTTGGAGACCCCTGATGCAGTAGAAGGGGAACCCCTTTTGTCTAACAGGTTTAAACTGGCCTTCGCCGGGCCACATTGTCCAAATCCCCACAGGACCAAGTCGCATGCAAATCTGTCCTGTAGCTTCTCTACTTTAAGAAAACCACGTTATGTTTTAATGCACGTTCCATTTGTCAGGAAACATCAATGAAGTCAATATAACGAGGAAGAGGCCATTTCTTCTCTGGTGGATGTGTGGTGCATTTTGGGTTCATCTTAGCGTGCTTTGGAAACCCATCCCCCATCCTCGCCTTCGCTCGGGAATTTTAACTCTCATTTTCTGCCGTTTACTGACACACACACACACACAATTGTGTGTATAAAAAAAGAGAAAGAGAAAGAGGAGAGAGAGAGAGAGGGAGAGAGAGAGGGAGAGAGAGAGAGGGAGTGGGGTATTTTGGGTGGAAGATGGATGATGTTTGGAATGTGAAGCAGAGCAGCAGAAACGGAGAAGCATGTAGACAGGCAGCAACAGCACGAGGGGGAGAGACAGAGAGAAACAGGGAGAGAGAAATGGGGGTGAGTTCATATTGGGGAGGGGGTGGTGATGGTGGATGTTGGGAGACAAGGCTACATGACGTTTGTTTCCATGGTGACGGTCTCTCTGTCTCCCACACGTAGGGAGGTGGTGCTTTAATGTGTGTGTGTCTACGTGTGTTTGTGTGTGTGTGTGTGTTTGTGTGTGTGTGTGTGTGTGTGTGTGTGTGTGTGTGTGTGTGCAATGGCATGTTTGTCAATAAATAAGCGAGCCCTTGTTGCAGCCGTTACTGGTGAAACCAGTGACTCATCCCAGTTTGTAATCCGCCCCTCTTGTTTCCTTTGGTGGAGCGAAAGATGCCTTTTGGTTTGCAGACGAGCTCACTGACACAGAATAAGGAGCTTTTGTCGTCTCGAGGTCTTGACGTCTCGTCGTGTTTTTCAGTGAGCACTGGCATGAATGTTTACATTTTTGCCATTTGAGAAAAATACATATTCTCCATCTCGCGAGGTTGACCTTTGATATACTGTGGAAGCCCTCGATGAGGAATGCTACGCCTGGGGAAACTGAATTATCAATCAACACGCATGCATTTCGATAGAGCAAAGATAGTGTATCTCGTGCACACACTCAGTTTCAATTGGTAGATCATTTACAATGAATCAGTCTGTTTTACACCTGAGCTCTGCGCTGCCGCCATCAAGCCTCCCACTCGCTGATGACAGTAATAACGGTCGCAAATAGAACTGAGTGGGCTGATGTCTTTCCAATTTGGCTTGAAAAGGTTACGATTCGACGGGAGGCTTTTAACTTCTTTCTTTTTTTTTTTAAAAGGTGTAGCTGGAGCTCAGCGTGTAACGCTGGGGTTTGAATGGAATTTGTGTGTGTGTGTGTGTGTGTGTGTGTGTGTGTCTGTGTGTGTTGGAGGTAGAGGCTGATATCTGTGTGGGGCGTGACCGGCATGGCGAGAGGATCCGACTGTGGCGCCGATTCCACCGAGCTGGAGGAGGAGGAGGAGGAGGAGGAGGAGGAGGAGGAGGAGGGGACCGTGGTTTCAATGGTCGTGCATCTTGAAGGCAACATCGCCATCTGCTGTGTGATTATAATTAGGAGTGCATATCATAAATGTGTATCAAGAATATACATTATTTTACTGCAGAAGTGCACAATTAGAACGAACCGTTCAACCTAATGAGTGTGTGTCTGTGTGCGCGTGTGTGTTTGTACTGTAGCTGGAAACAGAAATAAAGACAAATGTAACCACTCCAAATCTCTCATTGGTAGACTTTTATGCCAACATTGGAGCAGAGGACACATTATTTTTATATGAGAGTTATTGTAGTGATATCTTCATATTTTAGTACAATATCTGAACAATTATCGTCGTGAATGTGCAAAAAAACTGCTCTGTTTTAAATTGTACAGGTCTGCATGCTGGGAAATGATGCCGCATAGTCTCCAATGTGAACGTAACAAACGTTTTCCTACATCGCAGGACTGCATCTGGTTTCTTTCCAGCAGGCTTCATCCCAGCTGAAGTCCTTGTCGGTGGCGTTTGGTCCGGTCGTTCTTTGGCACGTGGGACAACACCTGCCCTCATCCACCGCTCAGGTGTCAGCTAATGATAAACAATATGCCCCTGTGCACACACGGAACTGCGGGGTGTCTCCGGTGTAATTAGTAACATTAATCATGGCCCTGGTATTCAGCACGCGGGCTCGCGGGAGTGACAGCGACACACTAAAAAGGACGGAGTCATAATGTGATCCATTACACCTGTTTACCCTCCAACGGCAGTAAAACAGGCCGTGGAAACGGTCCATTGGCCTCACCTCTTCAACTCAGCAGCATCACTCAGCACACCTTGGGAAGTCCTCTAAGAAACTAAATTAAGAAAATTACAATATTATTCAAATAGTGTTGCAGCATTACGGACATTTTTCATTTGTTTCATTTGCTAAAAAACTTTAAATATCAAGATCAAACCCTTTATTGCGGATCAAAACAAACCACTAGGGGGCGCTCCAAGTCATTTAATCAGTTTAAATACCTCCGTCTCCTCAGAGACAGACTTGTCCGTCTGTTCCATTACTGGGAGCTGTCAGCTTTAACGCGGCTGGGGGGGGGGGGGGGGGGGCCCGTGGGGGCCAAAGGGCAATTAAATTCACCCTCTGGCCCGGTCCCGGCTGTGTGATGCACGGCAGAAAAATATCACCAAAAATGCTTCCACTATGCAGAGGAATCCTATGGCTGTTGGTTATCTTTTGGTTACCCCCAAATGATTATGTGTTTGACCCAATTCACAAACCGGATGGTAGACATCAAACGTTTAGGGAAGAAGGAAATCTGAGGAATGTGTATAGTATGTCCTTTTTAATCACGTGAGTGACCCCGGAGCAGAAGGTCGAATGCTTCATTTCACCACCTGATAGTAAATGAAAATTTGAGTTCAAGCTTTGCTAATAAATCTCCACTGAGAGGGAGACTGGTTTTACATATTTACTTAAGTGTTTCCTAAACCACTTAAAGCAAATGTGTGTCCCGGCCAACGTTACCAGATGGCTCTCTGTTAAACAGAAGTAATAGATTCTTAAAAGGAGAAAATTATTTAATTAATCCCAGATATACTGCTTTAAAATAAAAAAGATTCATACTTGATCTGTTCTTTATTTTAAGTATACTTTAGTCTACATGGCTTTTTAAGACTTGAATTCGGTTTTGAATGCACAGCTTTCACTTGTACTGTTAAATGATCATGTAATGTTGCTTATTTTAAAATAAATCCATTCTAATGTTCATAACAAGCGCTTTGCTTTCACGCCTGTTGGGTCATAATGTTCTTCAAGACAGAATCACGCTCAATTTCACTCCCTCATTTGTATGTTCCTACATCCTGCAGGGAGGATCAAATCAATAACATTGCTTTGCATAATCACCGTGGTGACGGAGGGACCAAAGGGGATAAAAGTGAGCGAATGTGAACTAAAAGTTCAAGGTGAGAAGAAGAGAAGCTACAGCTGGTTCCTCCGAGGTAGGAGTAATGATTCTCTGGCTTCTGAGACGCTTTCGCTCAGAAGCCAGAGGAGTTTTATACGCACAATAATTACACCTGTCACGTGTACGGGAGATTTAGAAGATTTAAAACGTTCACTTCCCAAAAGTGCTCATCACTCGAACCGTTTGAATGGATTCGTTTTTTATGATGGATTTAAAAGCACAACTCCAAAGAATCATCATTATGCAAAATCAAATAGGTTTGCTCTTGACACGTTTATTCTAAAGATGCCCTTTGTCTGTGCACATAAAGAGTCTCCGGCATTTTAACGTGTGAAAACAACCTTTATTCGCAGCGTGATGAAGACGCTGCTGTTGGTGCTCGCTGTCTCAGGTGAGTCATTCGCACGTGTTCGACGCGGTGCGATGAAGTGACCCGAACCCTTTACTCAATGCAACAACACGACAATAACACACATCTAACGGTGGTCGTCCTTTGACGCAACGAGTGAACGCATGTCGTCCCTCCGTGCATCAGGGCTGTCCGCTCAGTCCGCGGTCTTCAGAGAGTACCACCACGTAGACATGATGAAGACCTGGGCCAAAGCTCAGACCCACTGCCGGGAGGCCTTCACTGACCTCGCCACCGTCGCAAGTCCGGAGGAAAACGCGCGAATGAAGAGCGCACTGCAGGACGCCGGAAGCCACGCCTGGATCGGCCTCCTCGACGACCTGAAGGGATGGAAGTGGTCGCTGGGGGGCGAAGACTTGAGCGACGAGTTTACCCACTGGAATGAAGGCCGGCCGGACCTCAAGAGCTCCAACGAGACGTGCGCGGTGATCAGGGCCGACGGGCTGTGGGCCGACAGAGAGTGTTCGGATACATACCCGGCCGTCTGCTACGATGGTAACAAAGAGTTCTGCTGAGTCAAGTTAGGAGTCACAACACAAAGAAAGCAGGCCGGCCGGATTAAAAGCTTTTGTTAGTTGGATATGAAGGTGTTAAACAGACCACTTATGGGGTCTTCATCAGTAAAATATAGAGGCAAAGTAAAATAAAGGTCAAAAGGGAAATTGTTGTTGTGCACCACAAAGTCCGACCCATCTTCCTACTTTATTTCTCTCTCAGAGAAACATCCCTCCAAGTTCGTCTTGGCGGCAGCGCGGACGACGTGGCACGAGGCCAGGACGCACTGCCGATCCGAGCACACCGACCTCGCCAGCGCGAGGAACATGTCCGAGAACCGGGACATCCACTCGCTGGTGACCGATTACACCTGGATCGGCCTCCGCAGGAACACCTGGGCTCGCTGGTCCGACCAGAGCCCCAGGACCTTCACCAACTGGGACGAGAGCCAGCCCAGCCGAACGAGGCAGGCGGGGGACTCGTGCGCCGCGGTCGGCTCGGCAGCGGGGACCTGGTGGGACGTGGGCTGCGGCGCTACCAACCATTTCGTCTGCGAAAAGGTCTACACGAGGAAGCAGCAGACCTTCAAGATGAAGATGCGCTCCGAGGCCGACGTGAACGACCCGGCCGTTCAGCGGCAGCTTCTGGAGCAGGTGCAGTGACGTTCAAGCCACTTCACCTCTTGACGTCTCGGGTGATGACGCGACGTTTGACACGTTTTGGACTTTGTTTGTTTCCCTGCAGCTGCACGCCAAGCTGGAGAAACATGGTTTGTCCGACTTTAAACTCCGCTGGACCGTCTCGCCTCATAAGGAACCGGAGAAGAAGACATGAGAAGGTATTCCAGACGGTAGAGCCAATAATTGTTCAGAATAATCCTTAAACCACATGTATGACCTATTTTTTTCCTCCATTTCTTAAGGTTCTCCGGCTGAAGGACCATCGTAGAGCCGACGTTATTTTATCATTGTGATCTTTTAGTTCCATATTTACATTTTCCATTTCATCAGTGATGAAATGGAAAATGGATGGATTTTGTGTGTTAATATGTTGCATGCTGTGTAACACAAAGGATCATTTTACCGTGTTTGATTTCATCGCCTTCAATCCGCTCAAAATATTATCTGGCTGCTTGTAACTTTAGAGCTCGTACGGCCTGTTTTCATATATATAGTTAGTGTTTTGTTGGTGATGGTGCTGGTATTGTAACTCTATCTGGATAAATTAAAGATAAAATGTTTGCCTTTGCTACCTTTTCCTCGTGTGTATCGAACGAACGTTTCTGTGTTGGGGAGCTTTATTTTGTGGGGAGGATTTTTATAAATTTGAAGCAATTACTCATCTTGTGGTGTGAGATGAATAAAACAAACATACTCTTTTCAAAACAGGTGATATGAAAAAAAAACATTGCACGCAGATGGTTAAGAATAAAAAGTCCAATGAACTATATTACTATGAAAGTGTTATTTCATTCTAAAGGTAAACGCGCAATAAATCACGTGTATGTTTCAGTCAAACATCATTCGACTAATTGATGACAATATCAACTATACTATATTCTTTCACGTATTTTGAAGGTGTTTCAACACACATTGAATCACTGTTGGTTATTCCTCATAATAAAAGTGCTTCTAAACATCATGATAGAAACACACTCGAACAAGGACGACCAATCAGAGCAGAGAAGTCAGCATGCGAGTAGAACACCAACATGTAAAACATGAGCTGAACATGTGCTGAATTTGTCCTCTTTGATTAAATGAATGACCTCGGGGCGGAAGAGTGCGTGCTTCATTTCACCACCTGATGGTTGATGGAAATTTGAGTTCAAGCTTTGCTAATAAATCCCCAATGAGTCGTGTTTTACATGATTGCTTCAGCAGCACACACACACACACACAAGCACAATGAAACACATCCACACACCGTGTCATAATTGCAGTGTAATTATCCATTGCGTTAAAACTCCCCCCAAAAACTCCAGGATGCAGCTTCTGCTTCTCATTACCAGCACTTTGACTTGCAGGCGCGCCCACTTGCTCGTGACCGTCTCTGGCAACACCCTGAATGAGTTCTTCATCGAGCACGTTAGGGGGATCTAGAGTGTACAGCAGCGTCAGGATCTGGTTCAAAACATATTTGTAGTTGTGTCCTTATAATTCACTCTTCAAAGGTTAATTTTTGCTCAGAATGATGGCGTACTCCTGTGGCGTTTACTTTTGGCCAGAGATCCTCTATGGAGCTCGAGACAGACAAACGTCTGCCTCCGATACGTTACCGTAGACGTTACGTTTTACCGAAGGATGAATTTGGCTTCTATACATTATAGACACATGACTGCATCCGATGAGGGGCGATGCATTCCGTTGCCACGGAAACCGTTGCATCAAAAGACAACAACACTGCTTGTAGTTCTTGTTCTTGTTCTTTTTAATAATATTTTAATACTATTTACTAAAATCTTGGATGGAGGTTAAATTCTAAAACAATATATCTGTTTTTCTATAATGATACAAATCATCACTTTGCAATGATTCTAAAGTAACGACGTGGGAACACGAGTCACCGCTCGTGGCTCACTCGCCGGCCACATGGGGCCGAGAAGATTGACCTTTGACCTCGAAAGACACACCAATATCTCTCCCCTTGCCGTCAGGTTTGCATTTGTGGTCCTTGCTGGTACGCAGGTAGTTAGCAAGTACCCTCGATTACTGTGCTTAGTTGAGGACCCCGTCCTGTGTGAGATGTTCACAGTTCACAAAGAGTTTATAATATTTAATATTCATTTCAAACAGAGAGAAAGGATCATTTTCGGTTGATGTGTGCCTCTTTTTCCCCCTGTGCCATTAACATTCACACTTTTTTACGGAAAATAATGTGTAACCGTATTTGAAGTACTGTAACTAGATTGACGGTTGAATGCATCTATATAATAATGATTATGAAGTTATATTTTATGTATATTTCATTATCTTCTGTGTCACAATGGTGAATGAACCAAACAGAAAGTAATGTGGACGTGTTTAATTTGTGCAGAAGGATCCAACTGCATTGTTTTTCAATGAAAAACATAGACAATTCGCTTTTTGGAGTTAACAGATATAATTCAGGTGTCATTTTGGTGGATTTGAATATACGCTTTACAGGTTTTTTTGTGGTTTTTGGGAAGGACGAACCCGCCCAGAGGTTTGCCTCTCCGCGGTCCGTCATCGCTTCCTTCTGCTCGCTCGACAATTGAACAACAGTCTCTGGCTTCCCTGTACTTCTACACTAAAGTACTGCTGTTGACAAAACTGACGCAGTTTTCGGTGTTTTGATGTACAGAGAGGGAGAGTATGGGAGAGCAGACCTGGGACAGCTGTGCTTTGATGAGGACACGCGGTTCACTCGGCCGTTGTTGTGAATAAGTCATGCCTCTGGACGCCGAGCTAAACCTTTCTGATAACTTGCTGCCGAATATAGAGGCCGTGTGCAGAAGCGCAGTAAGAAGAGGATCGTTGCATCGCCACAGAGAGCTGAACCTCACTCATTTTCATCCATTTCTGCCTGTTTATCACCCACAAGCACAAGACTTTGTCTTGCCATAATGCTCCCTTGCAACGAGTGATTTCCTTCAATTCAAGCACGCGCTGGCTTCAAGTGCAGCTTTGTACCAGAAACGAGGGGGTGACTTTTTACCGCCTTTATATTTAATTGCTGAGACACCGGCAATGAAACACAACCTGATGATTTGATGGGGATGATTTGGACTCCTGAGCACACTAAAAATCACTCTGACTGCCCGTTAATATGATGCATTAGTCATTTATATCCATACAGTTTTGCACTGCTGCTGCTGCGCCAACGAAATGATCGCACAGTGAACAGAAGGATCATTAAACTGTGTGTAGGAGAAAGAACGAAGGAGAGATGGTGATGATGAGGATTCTGTTTGGATGTTTGTTGGGGGCACGTTGACACTGATGTGTGTGTGTGTGTGTGTGTGTTTCTCTGGGGAATAAGTGGCGCCTTGTGAAGCGGCCTGCGTGTAGAACACATCAGGCGACAGACGACCACGTTCTCCTTCGCTCGTTGTCGGCTGGTGTCTCTCAGCAGAGAAATACAGACACAGAGACGATGAAATGAGAGCGAGGACCCCGGCAGACGCTCTTCCATCCAGAACTCAAGAGATGAATCCAGATCGACGAATCGAGCCCAGACAGACACTGTGTTCACGTGTGACAGAGATAGAGACACACACACACACACACACACACACACACTTCAGTGTGTGCTGTCAGCATCAGTACTGCGGTTATTCATCAAAGCCTCCCCCCCTCCTTCCCTCCACCCTTGCTTTCGTCTCCCTCCTGAGCTCTTTATTCCTGTCGTCACATTTCCAGGAGACCTATTTTGATTTGGTCGTTTTAGAATATAAGGTTCTGCTCGGTCGCGCTTTGACATTTGCTTCATCCGTCGTCTCCAAATCCAAAGAAATCCAAGGCCTGACAGGCCGGCGGGGGCCCGGTTGACTTTAACACGGGCTAAACCGCAGACCGGCCCGTGGAAGAACCGACGGGATGAGCGGACGCTGAAGAGGGATTGCGGCGCCGCGGTCGGGCCTCGTGGGGTTTCCCTCCGGAATGAGACTATTTCAATTCTCGCCGTAAATTGATTCGCGGGGATCCGTCCCAGCGGAGCACGAATCAGGGAGGATGATTTAATAATAGCCATTGACTCCCCCTCGTACATAGCAAACAGATGTAAAATGCAGGAGCGTAACAGCCCTGGCGATGAGGTGCCGGGGGGCTCAGGGACTAATCTGATCCAATGAGTCCATCGGGTCTGATCTTACCGGGGGGGACACAGACTCGCCGGTAGTTTCAGCTGCCAGTGCGCCGGGATGAAAGCGACTCTCACGCGGCTGAAACGTCACCTGTGCACCTGAGGCGGCGCCGACTCCCTCCACCTGCGCATGTCCTTGTCCTCGTCCTTGAGGGACGAGAGCGTGCTAAGAAAAGACGTTTGACGTCAGAGCAGCATCCTTTTACTTTAACGTCTCTCACCTGCTCACACACACACACACACACACACACCTTGTGTGTCCCTCTTTACCCTCCCATGTCCCTCCTAGGACGGACCCTCTACCCGATGCCAACACTTATATATCGGGGACCACTTAAGGGAATCAGCTGCAGGGACGCAAGAACATGCACCTTGGAGGAAGACGGCATCCTTTCCATATACGCCGCCGCGTCCCGGCAACGCCAGATGCTCGGCTGTTTGTAGACGCCGTTTGTGACCTCAAGAGTTAAAAAGCAGCACTACCTGGTAACAGATGGATGATTTAACGGAACGCCACACTCAGATACAGGAGACCGGTGTCTGTCTCCGATCCCCGAGGGGACCTTTCCCTAACCTTGACCAATGCCAGAAGAGATCAAATGTGTCTTCCTAGGGACCAACAGAGCAACATGAAGTAAATTGTGTTTTTTTTCAAGGGGTTTTTCAAAATGAACCTTGGTCTCCAAAGGACACAAAGATGCAAAAGATAAACCGCTTCAGCCCCCTGAGATCGGCCTTAAAAGTGAATTGGGCTGCCAAAGACGGGAGGGCGGGACGTCCACGAAAGAGAGGAGATTGAATGACGTCCGCGGCTCCTCGGCGGTGCCATCATGGCGGCGCTGGCGTTGGCGTGCACGTGTCACTGTGTGTGACATTGCGCAGGGGGCACTCTGCCTCTTCTCATTGAAAACAATGAGACATTTAGAGGCATCGATCCGCACGAGCGCTTCCTGTCCGTTTGTCCCTATTTGTGTGGGATATGAACAGTATTCGTCTGTCTTACTTTAATAAAGGTGCACGTACGTCCTCTGTACTGACTGGACAGTTTGAGTGTCACACTCGTGATTTCCTGTTCACGTAGTTTTTTTGTCGATATGTAGCAGAGGGTTCATGTTTTATGGAACACATGGCCAATGATTCATACATATATACATCAGGAATCCTATTTCCTGGTTATGTTCCACACTCAAGGGAACTTGATTCAATATGTTGGTCAAGGCAGAATGTGCTGAAAGTTAGAAATTGACTATACGCTGCTGCAGGGCTTTTCTTGACCGACCAATCGTTGCTCTCTGCAAACAAGATGCTAAATGCTGCAGAGTGAACAATTTGGCGGTAAAATGTGCTGAGGTTTGCAGATTGTAACCTCAGCACAAAAGTGTGTGTGTGTGTGTGTGTGTGTGTGTGTGTGTGTGTGTGTGTGTGTGTGTGTGTGCCAAGCAGGGAGGCTTTCTCCAGAGCCAGAGCTCCGTGGTGAGGACTTCCAAAATGATCTTTCAAATGGACCAACGGAGAGTTATTCTGATTACCACACTTCTTTTTACAAGACGGAAGGTCACAAAAGACCAGCAGTATGGAAGCAAGCCGGGGTGTGTGTGTGTGTGTGTGTGTGTGTGTGTGTGTGTGTGTGTGTGTGTGTGCGTGCGCGTGCTCAAACACACGTTGCAGGGTCTAACAGAGGAGGTCAATGCATCTGATCCACTCATTCATTTCTATACAAAAAGCACACACATTTACATTGAAAAGTACCCATAGTGTATTGATGTGTTCGATGCCTCCGTCTAGAACAAATAGATGGACCCCTCGTAGTGAGAAAAACATATGGTATGTAAAATATAAAGACGTCGCGCGCAAGGAGAAGGAAGAGAGGGAGAACACAGTCGGTTCATTAAGTGTTGAGGCGCGGTTCTCTGCAAGCACGTCTGTGGCGCCCTCTCAACTCTCCCAGTAAGTAGAAGCCTCCCCCGTTTTCCCCCTGTCCTCCCCCTCTCTCTCTCCCCTCGGAGCCCATCATCATCCCCACGGCGGCGGCCCCGACACCAGCGGCCGAACCGGGTCCGGTTTCGAGGCTCCGCCGGCACCGAGACGCACCGCGCGCGGCTCCGCGAAGCAGAAACGCGCGATCCGGCCGTCCGCGCGGCGGAGCGGCGGAGGCGTCGGAGGCGTCGGGCTCCGCGGGGATGCTGACGCCTTCCCCCGGATGCGGGATGGCGATCGCCGGGCCGCGCGGGATGTGAAGCCTCCCCAGAGGACGATGGCCGGACCGGGTTCCTCCGCGGCGGTGCCGCTGCTCCTGCTGGGCTTCCTGTCGGTGTCCTCCGTTACCGCCGGTGAGTAGGACCACCGGTTGGGGGGGGGGGGCTCGTGATGTGTGTGTTTGTGTCGAGACTAATGTGGCGCTTTATGTAAGTTTCCCTCCCCAGTTCAGAAGACACATCACAATAAGTCCTTTTGAATCACAGAGCGCATCTTTATTGTACAATTTATAATTGTTCAAGATGAAAAACGGTCAAACAATTACTTGATAGACAGACAATTCATCTTTGAGAAACATTCGCTCATAACAGCTATTCGACGATCTCACCTTTTGATCAATTAATCAATGGATTTCTGTGATCACTGCTTGAGAACCTTCAGCTTCCACGTCCATCAGTGCCGTGGAGGGTTGTGAAACAGAATGGGCTCAGATTGGATGAGCTTGAATCCAATAAGAACCTTCATCTCGTAACGTTCCACCGCGTCCCGATGGCGAGCTGAGGGATGACAGATGAGGAGCTGGAATCCTGGCTCATGAGATCATCGTGGGATTCATCTCCATTTGATATTTTAGCTTCCAGAGGCTCGGGATGAAAGTAGTTTTAAGTGTGAGGAATGAGACTCCCTCTCTAATGTTGTGTGTGTGTGTGTGTGTGTGTGTGTGTGTGAGCGTGTGTGATACAACATGCATCGCACACCAGCCACGATGCATCATCTCAGCCCACTGGGATATTCGGCCACACGATGTAACAGTCGGGTTTTCGGGGGGGGGATCTGCGAGCGCCTTCATCTGACGCTGGCATTTGACTCCGCAAACAAGTCGGAGGCCCGGCGTTTAACATTTGCTTGGGTGGGACAGCGCGGGAGTGAGAGGGGGGAGGTGGCGGCGCGTCGCCATCGGGTCACACGGACGCACACTTCTAAATGGGACCCAAAACGCTGAAGGACGGGAGACGTCTGGTGATGATTATTGGTGACGTGATGTGATACGAGGGACACCCGCAGGGGGGAGGATAAGACTGGAAAAACGGGTCTGCTCATTAAAACGCACACACACACTTTCTCATTCGATGTGTCCCCGAGTCACACTTCAATGAGATGTGTGCGAGGGAGAAAGAAGACGAGGAGAGAGACAAAGTGATGTGTGTTCATTATGTTGTAACAACAGACTGTTCATGACCCGTCTCTATATTCCTCTGGCCATGCCACATGTGTGTGTGTGTGTGTGTGTGTGTTGTGTGTCAGACGCCGCGCTGTCAGCTCCGCTCAACGTGACCATCAGAGAGATCGAGGTAAACTCTGCCGTGGTCACCTGGGAAATCCTGGAGGGGGACCCCGTCATTGGATTCGCCATCACCCAACAGGTATTTCTATGCTGCCGTGTCCCTTACAGGGGGAAACCCGAGGGGGGGGGTACAGGTGCACGCTGGTAGACCTAACAGGAAGTCATGCAGCAGTTTGGCGGAACGTGAAGACGAGTCACGGCTCCGTTAATGACATAACGTGTGGTTGTGATCAGTGCATTCATTGCGGGGCCGGTGTGCGCTTTCGTCTACGCGGCCGCTTAGAAAGGTCAGTAAACGATCCCGTGTGTTCGTCGGGGGTAAATGAAAAAGCCCCTAAAGAGATTTATTCTCGCTCTAACAGGAACCAATTGACCTGAGCGAGCAGCCCGGCCCCGTAGAGGCGTACATTTCATTCAGGGCGGCACTCTGTTTCTTCCAGCTTGATTGCATTGCAGAGAAAAACCCACTCAAAGACTCAAAGTGTAACTGGTTTGCATTTGCACCACGTCGCCCCCCCCCCCGACATTGTTAAATGTTCCCGTGGTTTAATCAACAGGGAAACTGCATCTGATGGATCCGAGCCTTTGGTGTTTCCTATTTGTTGCCTTGAAGTCGCCTGATTCTGGTTGCAGATATCGCGTCTTTGTCCGTTCACATCAAATAACTTACAAGTCGTCACTGGATTCTGCAGCTGGGACCAAACATGTAGAACACATGCATAGTACATGGAGCCTCGTGGGCCCTGACCCCTTACTTTGCCCCTCGCCCCCCCTGCAGAAGAAGGACGCCCGCATGCTGCGGTTCATCCAGGAGGTGAACACCACCACGCGCTCCTGCACACTGTGGGACTTGGACGAGGACACCGAGTACATCGTTCACGTGCAGAGCGTCAGCATGGCGGGCAGCGGCCCCCTCAGCGAGCCGGTCCTCTTCAGGACGCCCAAGGAGTCGGAGAAGATGGCGTCCAAGAGCCCAGGTGAGGGGCGTTTGATGTTACCTGCTCAGCAGGGCATGTATCCCTTTGCAAAACGCTTGTTTTGCAAAGGCCGAACTCGAGCGACGAGGCTTCAGCGCGCAGCACATCCACACACCACCTGCACAAACACACACGGGCATTTTGATAGCAGCTTCTAACCAGAGGCAATAAGGGAAAACGTTTATTTGACAATCTGAAGGAAAAAAAAGGCAGGCTTTCTTTGTGAGAACCCCACCTCCCCCTCCACCCCCTCCTCCACCCCCTCCCGCCTCGTACAAACGCAATTCCCAAACGCAGAGGCTGCTGTTATCTGGAGCGGCTCGCTGTACCAATCTCATCATGTCCGACCCAGTAACGGCGCCGAGAGCCGGAGGGACGGCGGAAAAAAACGGCTAAACGCTCATCAGAAGGAGACGAGGAAACAGGGGACATCAGGGACCGTTGTGGGAGACGGGGGAGACGGGGGGGGGACGAGAACTTGAGAACAATGCAGTGTGGTTTGTTACGGGTGCGCTGTGCAGTAACATAAGAAGGGGAGGAAGGGGGTGAGTGAAGGTGGGAGTTGATTTCCCTCTTGGGGGGGAGAGAGAGATTTAATAACAAGTCAAAATATTTGTCACATCAGCATTATTTGGAGTTTCAGCGGTGGAATTGGTCCTGACGTTGAGGGGGCGGGCTCGCTTTGTCTGCTCGGCCTCTGACTGAAGATCCCTGTGAGCAAACAGTGCGTTTGTGTGTGTTTAGGTGCGCGTGTGTGTGTGTGTGTGTGTGTGTGTTTTTATGGAAGCGTTCATTAGCAGCTGATTAAATCTCCTGCTCTCCTCCCCCTTCCAAGCGGATATCAATCAGCCAGACACCCTTTGGTTCCCGCAGACGGGACGAAGCAGGACGCTCGCCTGCCTGTCGCTGTCTGTCTGTCCAACTCGTGCACCAAACCTGTTTGTCACCTGTTTGATTCCTGGAGAAGAATCTGGAGCGTGATTATATACTTCAAAATGAAAGCAAACATTTAGAATCTTTTCTTCACGGTTTACTGGTGTTGTTCATCATCTGCAGCTCGGATGTTGACTTAATGTTTAAATCTGCTGCCCTGGTGAAATACGTGAGAATCACATTCACGGTTTCATCAAGTAAACTGTGCCAAGTCATAATTAATGCACAATGCATCCATAAAAAAATACATTCACAGTGTTTTACTCCTGTTTCTTTACTTAAGAACACAATTACATTTATTACCAAATGTGTAATTCATGGAACAGGGATTTTATTGGCTGCAATTCCGTAAATCGGTAAGCTGTTCTAGTAAAACAACGCTGTGTTTACTGTTTAGTAGATTCAAGCGAAGCCCCTTAAACTTCCTCTGGAGACTCTTCTCAAAAAGCAAAGCAGCGACATCTCAGTGACGGAGGATCATGTGGCTGAAAGCAGCAGTTTGCCATTTTTACATCCTCTCCTTGGGACAATGAATCGCTGCATGTTGACTCACACTGTGTGTGTGTGCGTGTGTGTGTGTGTGTGTGTGTGTGTCCTCTCCCCAGACGAGGTGACGATGGAGGAGTTCGGTCAGTCTGCTCAGCTGAGGGCCGGGGAGCTCATCATCATCGTGGTGGTGCTCGTCATGTGGGCAGGTAATCCTCCTCTCCATCCCCGCAGACCCCCCCCCCCTCTCCGTCTCTGGGGCAAAGACGCTCTCTGACCCACTTTGGGTGTAATGAGATAAAAAAACGTGGTCCACATTCGGCGTATTCGGCTTATACATTAACAGCGAGCGGCCTTGATCTCCCTCGGCAGTCACCCGTGAGAGGACGATTCGCTGAGGTCCAAAGAGACTTGGAGAGGGAGGGGAAACTGAAAAAGTCTTTCGGCGGTGAATTGTGTTGTTCAGCTTATAATTGGGCCTGGTGGGGGGATTTCACTGGAGATCCCCCCCCACCAGGCCTTTGGTATCGCTCTGATCCGTTGAGTCTGACACAAGCAGTCTGAAGCCCGTCGAGTCCTCCCTTTATTATTCCCTTTCTTCTGTCTCTGTGTTCGTCCACCTCGCTCCTCTGCTGCGTTTTTTAATCTCCCTGACTGAAGGCCGGCTTCACACGCTCAGCTTCACGTCTTTGTCTGCACATCTCACCGTGTTCTCTGTTCGGCAGCACCCGCCCGCCGCCGGGAGCCGGCATCATCGGAGCAAATAATGATCCCGTGCATTTGCCCCCCCCCGCAGGGGTGATCGCGCTGTTTTGCCGTCAGTACGACATCATCAAAGACAACGAGCCCAACAACAACAAGGACAAAGCCAAGAACTCCTCGGAGTGCAGCACCCCGGAGCACCCACAGGGGGGGCTACTGCGCAGCAACGTCTGAGACCAGCCCCCCCCCAAAGCCGGGTGCAATAACTCCTCGACCCTCAGGACAGGTGAGGAACAGGACATCAACTGTCAACTTCATGTGACACAATAATACTTGTTTTTTTGTTCTTTACATCATTTTGAGGCTCTTTTTGTCTCACGTTGTTATTGTGCGTCTGCCACAGTCTAAAGGTCCTCACGACATCCGAACGCCTACTTTCATTAACTGCAGGAACTGTGCATCCTGCAGACGCTGAGACCAACAGAAAGCCATCACCTGACCCCGTCACAGCGACGAAGCCATGATCCGTTACCAAGACTCTCCTCCGCACCGGGAGCGGCTCTTCTAGAATCCAAGGCCGCAAAACAGGAAACCTGAGGAGAACTTCCTGACCTTCTTCGAAGTGGACGGTCGGTGTGCAGACGCTAAAACGGCTGTCAGTCAAAGCACGGCAGGGGACATCCGCTCCTCTCGACAAGAACCCGCTCGATTCCCACGTTGTGGATACCCGCCGTCAGTGGCATCGGATCCCGGCAGCACATCACCAATCAAACACCCGGTCCTTCAGGTCCAGCTATCAGGCAGCACACAACTACACTAAGGACGTCATCTTTTTCTACCCCTCCGTCCACATTCCCTCCTCTCTGTCTCACCGCGGGGACATTTCTGTTTTTGGGTTAGAAATTGAGCGCCGTGAGCGCCACTTGCATGGACATGTAATCTAGACCCTCGTGTTTCCAGTCCTTGTGTCCTCTTGACGTGGGCGTGTGTGGCGACTGGTGGCATTTGACATTATCTTTTGCCGTTTCATCGGGGAAATCAATCAATTCACGGGGAACAAATCAAATTTCCCTTCTTGTCAAAAATCTGATGAAAAGACCCCAAAATCCAAAGTGAATCAATCCCTCTGCCACAAGTAGGTTGTTGCTCCGCGGCGTGGATGATTCTTTCTCTCGTTTACTGCCAAGATTGTTCACTCTACACCAGTTAATGGAGAAACAACACATTTGACATTTCAATATTTGCTCGACGATCTAATGAAAACACGTCTAGTGACACGTTTGTTCATTACAATGAATCAGCATCCCACTACAGACGCACCGGATGTGTATAACTACGCCGCTGAAAGTAGTCCCTGTTTACTCCTGTTTGAGCAGCATTAGGTCCAAACCACGGTGTTTAAAGAGTCACATCTTTGTTAGCAACCAATGGGCCCGTGGGGAAGTGGGAGAGGTTTGAGGGACGGACTCACAAGTTGTCGGTTTTGGTCTTTTCGTGATATTTGTTGACGTGAAGAAAAACAGAACAACGGCACCTGTTGGAACTTCTTCATCAGAACGATCCAGATAAAGATAAAAAGTCATTATCGTCTTCTGCTAATTGTGATGCACATAATTACAAATGTCGGACCCCGACCCCCCCTGGAACGGTGACGCCAGGAAATGCTTCCCCCGTGCTGAGAGAGGCAGCCGTCACTGTCTGTCATCCGTCAGCCTCCACCTCTCCGCTCTCCTCCACCTTCTTCTCTGGTTTCTCTCCTCGTTGTCCCTCCTCTCACCCGCCAGCTTCCCTCTCTGCTGCTACTCGTTATTTCCACCCCCAAGCTGCCCTCCTCCCCCTCCTCCTCCCCTCCCCCAGCACACCTCCACGCATCGGCTCTTCGCTCTCACTGGGGGACCCGGCTGGCTGCTCATCCCTCGTTCCTCCGCTCGCTCATCACCGCTTTCTTTCTGGATGGACGCTTCCATGTGAGCAGACTGAGGGGAAGACAATGGGTGAATGAGGAGAGATGGACGGACAGGTGGAGCTACGATGAGAATAGAAAAACAAAGCGCTTCATTAGCAATGTTAATGAGCAAAAGGTGGAGTTCATAAGAGGGCAGTGGAACAATGCGCGAGGAGGAGACTGAACTGGCCGTTCTCGCCCCCGCATGTGGTCGGTAAGGTCGATATTCAGCCGACGGTCAAGCCGATGTTACGATGAACCCAAGTAACCTTTTGCTGCGCTTTCTTTAGAACAAATGCATCCAGAATGAAGAAGCGACTCCGGTGGAGGTCTATTAACTCTGAGGCCTTGAGGCCTGAAGCGAGAGACCTTTCTACGGAGCCAGAACCAGAAGTGGGACACGGCGGCCGGCTGGTGGGACACGGCTTGCTTAAAGACCAGGAACGTCCCACAAAGGAGACACTTGGGATTTCAATGTCGAAGGTTTTTTTTCAAGGGGAGCGTGGCCGATGGCGTCCTCGTGGCGTCCTCGTCTCCTGTCATGCATTTGGTCTCTTTCTGTCATGATGGAGGAAACGAGGACCTGATTGTTCACATGTGCACATGCTTCTACGTGTCGAGCGCGCCGCGCTGTGATTGGCCGACCGCGTGGAGGTGACGACCCACGACTCTTCAACTAGTCGGCAGCAGAGAGAAACTCGGAACTTGAGCTTTTAAAAGCCAGTGTGAAAGCCAACGAGCCCGTCGCTCAAACGTTTTGGTTCCTTTGACTCTCGTCACACTGCGGTGATTTTACAAAACACAATCTCTCTTTTGAAATCGATGAAAGGAACATCTCGCAAAGCTCGACACGGTGAACTTCTACATTTCTCATTAAACCGGGTCGAACCGTAACTGGATCACTGAGCATTCATTTGACGCATTGCATGATAAAAGCAGGAACGCTTTTGAACCCCGGTTCCGGTACATGTACCCGTCCCCCCCCCCTGACCTCTCAGCGGTCCCCTCTGTGGACAGCTGGCCGCCATCCGATCAGGCGCAGACTGTCCGTCCGTCCTTGGCTGCAGGAGGCCGCTGGACAGCTGCTCAAGGTGAACGCCCAACGGGCACGCGAGGTCACGAAGGCCTGAAGACAGGAAGGACGGAGTCAGAAGAACCTGCAACCACAAGCAACCTGTCCATCACTATCATACGTTTCAGTGAATTCACACCCCAGGGTTTTATCTCAAGTGCTCACTTCATTTTCTCCTTTCAAAAGGACAATTATTTCCCTCGATTGGATGTTTAAGGTCCTAGTTTAAGAAAAGTAACGGATAATCCAGCAGTTAAATTTGTCAAACTGCAACACAGTGAGCTGTAAACCAAATCCCTGCTAACCCAAACGTCATGTGCCAACGGAGGACCACGGAGACGGTCAAAGTCATCCATTCACCCCGGTTTGCCTGTAATGTCCGTGACTGGATGAATGAGATCGCTGAGCACTCACCTGGAAATCCTCCACATAGTAAAGAACAAGGCCGGTTACTTATGGCGTATATTTATACTTGTTGTCGATGCAAATAACCAAGAAGCATGGATTTACAGCAGAATACTGGAGTCTGTGTTTAACGTGCACCACGGCGTCTGTGTTTGAGGCATTTTGATGTTCATGGGATGAATCCTGTTCATGAGGGCTAGCATGACTCTGCTATCGTTCACACCCATGGTATACACGCTATTTCTATGGAAATATAAATGTCTAATTATGTATTAACTAATTATAAAATAAAATATTTTCAATGCACCGTTGGCGCGTCTTGGTGTTCGCGCTTCACTCTGTCGGTACCAAGGTGGGAAGCTGAAAATGCTCAAACGGATGCAGGGTGCGGGTGGCCAAAGGTGCCCCCCCCCTCGGCATCAGGGGCTCGACACGGTCAGATTGGGATTAAAGTGGCACCGAGCCTTCGAACAATGCTTTTTGAGGCTGACTCAGCAGCTGCTGTGCATCAATAGACAAACCCTAACACACACACACACACACACACACACACACACACACATGGAACCAAACACATAAGTTCACACAACCGCAGGCGCTCACACACTCGCGAGCCGATGGCGCTGTGTCAAATGAAATGGTCATATTTGCTTTGTAGTGAATGGAAACGCATCAGACGATGACTCATTATGTTGCTGGAGGAGGCTGATGGAGGCTGATGATGCAAACACTTCCCTCTTCCAGCCAAAAGAAAATGAAGTCAAGGACACGCCCAGAGCACACAAAGGACACACCAGGCGTCCTCCTGGAAACTCTTCCAAGTCCCCTCGATCTCGCTGCCGGTCTCCCGGCCTCACTTACTTACCGTCGTCTCAGTATCCGTGCAAATCGAATGTCATCACTTCAGCTGCACGGTTCATTGTCATTTAAGACGGGGGTCAATGAGTGTAAATGTGCCTCATATTGTATTGCTGCTCGCCACAGGAAGGAATCTTAAGCCTGTATTGCAATTTAAGTGTGTATCTGCTCCAGTACAACCCCCCACCATCACACATCGCTCACATCCCGGCTATTAGCCTATCGCCCGATCCTATCAACACAGAAGGTGTAAGAAGAGAGAGAGACTTTTCCAGGAAAACAATGTTCATTAATCCATCTGGTGAAGGGAGCGGGTAGGACACAAACGACATAAATAAAGAGCCCCAGCTTCAGTGAGGCAGAGCCTGTTAGAGGGTTAGAGGGGGGGGGTCCGATGCACACACACATATGGCTTGAATACACAACAGGGAACGTGTGTGTGTGTGTGTGTGTGTGTGTAGGGGAGTCAGACAGACTGAGGGCCCCCGCCATCGTCCTCCCGCTGGTGGTTTAAAGATCAGTCGGACACAAGGTCGGTTCCCCCCCGGGACATCTTCATTGACCCACTCTGTCCCATGTGTGTGTGTGTGTGTGTGTGTGTGTGTGTGTGTGTGTGTGGTGGGTTGGTGGGACGGTGCAGGTCTGCCCCCTGTTGCTGGTAAAAACAAAGTGCAGCCAAGGAAAATACGGCCATTCAAAATGTCATTTAAGTAAACAGAATGTCAACAACGCTCACAAATGCAACAACTACAGCGTGGAAACTCCTATTTGTGATGTCATTCATTATAAAGTCTGCAACATTAAGAAAGATGTTAAAGATCACGCAGGAATGTTGGGAGCGGGCACCTTTTCCTTCTGTTGCCATGGTAACAGCTCTGGTCCAGATTCCCTCCCGTGATCACACACAGCACGTTAGAAAATGATTAGAAAACAGACAAACCCAACGCTTAGAAACGGGTTTCAGGTTTTCAGTTTTAAGATTTCCTCTTTTGGTTGCTGGTTTTTAGTTGTTTTAAAAACGACAAACAAAAACTGACAAACGAAATTCTAAAATGTGAAAAATTAAAACCGGACTACTAAAATGAACAGCTGAAATATGGAGAAGAAATATAAACATCTGCTGCTAAACATAAGGGTTTTCGAACCGCTCTCTAGGCTGAGACCCCCCCCAAGGATGCTCCTCCAGGAGTTTCTTCTCCTCCTCCAGCCACCTGCTCCTGGTCCAGGCTGGTGGACTTGAGGAGATCTGCGTCCCTGCTATTCAGACGCTTTGCTTCAGAGAGATTCTGAGATTCCTCCTCATGATGTTCAACCAGCTCCCTCAGACTGGAGATATCTGACCATCACATTACTAGAGCAGAAAAGTGGATTTCTTTTATTCAAGATTTCTTTACAAAGCCGGCAGGTTACAATGTACACAATGGACTCAATTAGCCGTGAGCACGTGAATGGGGTTCTTTACATTTATACAGCTAGATTTTCACTTTCGACACAGAATTCAGTCAAATCCTAATGTGATCCACATCCACTCAAACATTCAGTGTGGCTTCTGTCATTAAGGCCCATTCATCTGTACCTACGACAGAATTACGTTCTAACTTCCCTCCATAAAAAAATAATTATCTCTAAAATTATAAAAACACAATGCTGCAAAAACTACTGGAAAAGGATATAGATGTCAACAAAAGGGGACATAAGACAGTGAGGATGTTTGCAGTGTAATAACAGGATGATACTATGGCTTCGGGGTGGGGGGGGACGGGTGCTCAAGGGAGGAAGTGTCCATTTGAAGAGTTCAGCAACAAGGTGGCGTCTCTTCCACCTCTTCACCCGTTGGACCTTCTGCAGCCTCGTCTTTAATACACAGTGGTGCCTTTTTAAATCAGGGGAAGATTTTGAGACCCCCCCCTCCGCCTCCCCCCGCCCCCCAACACCAGCTGTTGTTTCCATGGGCGTTGTCTTAGTCGGGTTCGGTGAGCCAGTCTTGGGGGGTCACCCCAATGTCCAAGACCTGGGGGTTAGTACGCGACACTGCCAGTCTGAGGACACACAGTGAAAACCGCAATAACTCAAAAGATGCCGTTAGCCTTCAGAAGCCCCCCCCCACCCAACACACACACAGGTTTTATTAGGTTACTGTAACGCAAAGCGGATGGTGGACTCATTAAAGACCCAACGGAGCCGTCGGTGTGCGCCCTCCGATCACGCTCGCGGTGATCAGAGATGGGAGGAGACGATACTACGGCCGATCAGCCCAGTCGACAAAGATTCCATCTGCGAGGACTCGAGGGACACGGGCCGCGATGGAAGGGGACGGGTTATGTTGAGGTTAGTGATTAGGACTATTACACTAAGTAAGGCTTGTAACAGCTGGCAGGCTCTACTTTACCTGGACATGAACCATAGCTATCCAGAGCACAGCTGGAGACACAAACACACAGTAGATTTACAGGTGAGGAGATTCGTACTCTGCAGTACGCAGGAATCAGCACTGAGTGGCGCCGTAGAGCAACGCAGAGCGATCCAACGGGGAGGACGTGAGGAGGACGAGTATACGAGAAGTAGGATCGCTTCGTTCTACGAGGACAGGTCAGGACACACGGCTCACCTGGAGAAGGCTTCATCCAAAGCGTCCTCGGTCTCCTGGAGGAAGGAGAAGAACCTCGGTTTGATATTTAGCGAGAAAAGAGAACTCATTTCAATCATTTTCATTTAACCTGGAAAAAGAGGAAAGTTCACCCCCCAAAAAATGCGAATTATATTTTTTTGTTATTAACTGTTCCTTTGAGATATTTCAAGACAACTTGTCCGGGTGCTACACGGAGCCAGAGGATGGGGGTCTTACACAGGGGGGGTTATCGTCGGTCTCAGAGGGCCTCTGATCCCCCTCTACGTTCCCGTTGGACTCCACGTTCACGCCGTCACCAAAGTCCAACAGCTGGTCTGTGGCCACATCTGCGTGAGAGGCGGAGGAAGGAGGACACGTCAGTGTCCCGTGCTCTGCGGCTGGCGCGGGACGGTATAGCGAGTCTTTTGGGCGCCTTCCGTTCACCTGTCCCCCTGAGGCTCCCCAAGCTGTCCGACTTCTCCGAGCGGGAACTGCTGCCGGCTTCTCCCGATGAACCCGACTTCGCTCTTCTCCCTTTTTCTCCGAGAGAGTGAAAGACAAAAGAAACCGTGTCTGGCGTGCGACGCGGCAGCAGCCTCGCCGCCGAAGTGATGTGAGTGATGCGCGTCTGGGCCTCACCTTCTTTGGCCACTTGCCAGAGTTCAAAGGCCAGCGTGAAGGCCTGGGCCACCGTCAGGGCCACCGCCTGGGCCTGGACATCGGGACCGTACAGGACAAACACGTCACCGGCGACTTTTATCAAGAGACCTTTTTGTCCCATTCGCTCAAACTGTCCCTCGACCCTCACAGCGAGACGGAGGAAATGTGTGAATAAGTTCTTCTTCGCTCGGTTTCGGCTTTCTGAGTAACGTTGGTGGATTGATTATCTGGCTCGCTGTCAGGGGTCAATAGTCACAGTTTGAGAAGATGGGACAACGTCCATCAGCGAAGGTCTACAGGTGGCTCCGAAGTAGAGATGATCTTCTCAGGGATGATTTAAATAGATAATGCTTTTCATCCATTAAGGCCACAGACAGATGCTTCTAAATCAGAACGCAAAAGCACATCGAGGTATGTCATGTCTACGCCTATAGACCAAGACTCCGTCCTCGCGGTGTCCATCAGCAGGACGAGACAGAAGACAAAGCAAACCGATGCCGGTCAAAGTAAAATCTCCATCCACTGCACTGGAAGTTGACTCACATTGATGCTGCACGGAGCGACTCACCACTTTCCTCTTGGGGCAGAGGAACGCGTGGCACTCCAGCGTCCCGCTGAGGGCGTTTTGGGCGATATAAGCAAAGACTCTGTCATGCAGCGCGTCCACCGTGCAGTAGGAAATCCTGCAGGCCAGAGGCGACGGGTTAGAGCAGCGGGTCGAAGGCTCTCGGGAAGAGCACGTGATGATGGGTGGTGCTCCTCACACACACACACACCTGTATATGGAGACGTTTTCCAGGAGCTGGTTGGTGGCGCTGTCGTGCAGCACGATTCCCTGAGGGGAAACCTTCAGCGCGACCTTCGGGGGCTTCTTCCCACTGGCTTTAGCCTGCCGGAGGAGTCAAACAGAGGCGTTTGTTCAGCTGATCAGAACATAGAAGACGCTTTAAAACTGTTTGAATGAGGTTTCACGCAGGATTGTTTTAATGAGAAAATGGACCAAATACACCATATCTTAGTGATAGAAGCTGCTGTATTCATTTCGCTTGTTTCATGCATATTTATCTTTTCTTTTTCTTTTGAGGGAAAAAAGAAAAGACATTTGCAGTTAACAGGAGAAAATCTAAATGCAGAAGAAAAGGACTGTGGGTAAATGGTGACGGGGTTTTACTGAATCAGGGCAGACAAAGATATTTGATCCGTCTCTTCGCTTTTCTAATCAGGTAATCTCACGAGTTTTCTTCTCCAGCTCACTGGCAGCCGGCCGGAGGATTAGAACCAACAACCGGGTTCTTTTTAGCCAACAACCCAGAACGGTGGTCAAAACTAAAAGAAACGTTCAATCTGACGACAACGTCAGGGGGAAATTATTTTACTTTCACCTGAAAAATGTCACAACTTCTCAACTTGAGAGGCCGATGCGTATTCAACAACAGTAAATATACAGACTAACTTGCTGGTATTGACGTTTTAAAGTGTCGACTGACAGGGTTCATTCAGCAAAAGCTGCTCTGGAGAAGCGTCACAGCGGCCTTTGTTCATCCTGCCGACTGAGTGATGACGTCACCGCCGCGGCGCTCACCGTGGCCACGATCCTCTTCACCGCCGCCGCCGACAGCTCCTCTCCCTTGGGCCGCTCCACTAGGGTCATGCCCAGGTGACGGAGGTTAAAGGTCACGCCCTCCACGATGGTCTCCCTGGTGTCGGTCCAGTTCTCTGGGAGCTCTGGAGATCGAAAGCAAGAAAGAGAAGGAAACTAAACAGTGAAAGTTTCACTGAAGCTGCGACTCACCTGCTTTCCGCTTCACATTCCAAAGTTTATCACCCCCAAGTTTTACCCCCCCCCCCCCCGCCTCCCCCATGAGGAGAGGCGAGACAGGGTATCTAGGTCACGTCGATGTAAAGTAAACACTTCCACTCCAACACAACTAATGGAGCTCGACAAAAGGCAACAAGTCCGTAAGGACTCTGACACGCTGCGATAAGAGGAAAGTGTGTGTTTCCTTTTCTGCAAGAATAACGGATGTATCCCGAGGCCACACGCACACGCACACACACACACGCGCACGCACACACACACACGAGGCGATCAGCTGAATCTGACGGACGGAGAAGACGTGTTTACAGTGCGAGAACTGCGACATGCGGAGGAACCGCTGCTATCGGCCTTGAACCGCTGGAAGCCCGTCCTGCCAGTGCTCAGGCCCCGCCCACGCACGCATGCCGCACGCTCCCCAACTGCGAACACGAAAGGACTGCAGCTGGAAGAGGATTCTTTGTGAAATTTAATAAAATATGAGAATCATTTTCATACCAAAAGACGAGGTGAAGCTTTTACAGCAGCAGGTGAAAACAAGCGTTTAAAAGTTCCATCCTGATAATGATTCACAGATATAAGATGTCCATGTGCAGCGTGATGTTAAAATACAAGAGTCCACAGAACTGGAGCAAATGTCATGACCATCCAATGCAAACGTTCAGGCGAGCACCTGTAAAGCTGCTGTTGATGTGAACAAAGGTTCACGTGTACCAATTGCAGAGTTGACATTTCCTGGCAAAACCACAAATAGACACAAACCAGATTTCATATAATACAGTTGGGTTTTTAAAGGTCACCAACGCGTTTGGCCTTTAAGGCCGATAACGCCACGTGTTTAGTTTGAAGTTCGATCCCGACCTCCAAAACAACAGCGAGAGAAAAAACAAATCATTTAAAATCCAGAAGAACTACTTGAAACTTGTTGGAATGAGTCCATCCCAACCGGGTCGCACCGCTTTTAACCGACGCAGCTGCGTGCACGAGGCCCAGCAGCGAGCTCGCGGGAACACGCGTCGCCCTTCGGGGGGGGGGGCGAGCGGCGGGCGGATGAAACGAGCATCCGCTTCACGTATCAAAGCCCGAAAAAAAGGCCCCGAAAAGGGGTTCACGCTCCCCCCCCGTCCCTCAGGGTGATCGGTGCCTCCAAACAGTGAATCGCCGTGGAAACCGCCAACCGTCAGCATCTGCTCCCGTTGCTAGAGATTCTTCTGAGCTCATGTGCTGGTTTCTACGGGACGCAGAGGGGCAGGAAAAGGGGGGGCAGTCGGTCTGCAGGTCTCTGCAGCTGCACAGTTCCACCGCGTTCAGCCTCAACACCAGCGACGGACTCACCAAAATAAAAGTGCTGAAACAACTACTTCACGAATCACGTAATGAAAATGTTCCTGGCACCGATTTGCCCAACTGACCCTGACCGTGTGTTGGCATGAGCGCGATGGTTCCGTTTGAGGTCCCTATAGAGGGGGAGAAAGCCTCTTCTGGCAGCGGGCCGGTGTGGGTCGTCTAGGGCGACCAAACCGGGGCAATACGGGCATAGAAGTGGGGGAGAAGCAGGGAGGCCTTGTGCCATTAAAAAAAAAAAGAAAAAAGGTGCCTTCCCCATAGATTTGAATGGGCTTCTGTTTAATGCAGTGCCTGTTCATTTGAGTGGCTCATCCTATTGACGTGCATTAATGGCAATGTTTGAACAAAAAAAATCGCTGCTCTGCTGGTTTTCCCTTTGGACGGTTAACTGCGCTCACCTGACGTCCTGCGAGTCCCACGGAAAAAGACAAAAATGTGGTCTGACCCGCAGGTGAGGGTGGGACCCGAGCGATACGGGTCAGCGCCGGGGAGGAATGTGGGCTCTGCAGTCTAGAGACGACCTGGTAATCTACACCACGACGCCCCCCCCCCCCCCGCCGCCGCCGCTGTGCACGAGTGGGTCACTGGCTGCAATCACAGGAAGCTTTCGCTTTCATTCGGTGTGCGATTAACGATTAACGGTTTCCTCGTAATGTTTGGGAAATATCATCCAGGAAGTGACTGACAGTGAATACATTAACATCAGGGTCCCGCCCCCTGACACAGAAGCGTGCTGTCGGACATCGTCCGCATGGATGACCGCGTCTCAAACTCCTGGGGCATCGCTGCTTCTCCCAGGTGAGATTTCCTCTAACCGCCCACGTGCCCCCCACCCAATACGTTCTTATCACGGACTCCACCGCGTCCTCTCCGGGGGGGGGGGTAACATAGAGCAGCTTGAACTCGAGCCAACCAGGAGCCTTGCACTGACCGACTCGTGGCATTCCTGGCCCGTCGCCTCGGTTACCCCCCCCCCCCTCATAGCTTTACAGCCAGGATCAAGTGAGATTTAGCTTACAAAGTGGCCCTCGAGAGCCACAATGGCCCCCAGAGCGCCTCGTTAATGCGGCCAGCGGCTGACCTGCTGAAGGGCCCTTGAGCAAACCCTGCAGTCGGGCGTGCCTTCCGTGTGACCCTGACCCCGGGGGGGTCCGGGATGGAGATTGGAGATCGGGATTATCTGCAAACGCAAAAGCCTGATGAAATGAGAACACAGGGGATTCTTCTGAGAACACGAGAGAAAATAAAGTTTAGTTTTCCTGACTTTTTTCTGCCTGGCGGCCAAAATAACATTTTATTTCCGGGAAATTCCTCAAACCAGATTAAATCGCAGTGCACTCAAAGACTTAAATCTCCATTCCAGAACATGTTCTTTCCCCCTCTTAAACAGAACAAAACAGCAGGAAAAATGCTTCTTTAAGTAACAAATTATTTGTTTGAAGATTTTATATAAAAAGCAGCGTAAAAAAAAAATTTGTTAAAAATAACAGGTTAAAAAAATGATGGAAAGGCGTTTTGCTTGTTAAAAGTACTAAACTTTGCCGGAGTTAGAACACAAATATCCCGTTAAACATCCCTCGTTTTTGTCGGTGCGCGATCAAAACAAAACGTCAACTTTCACCGGCGGCGAAACCGGGAAAACGTCACTCAACCGTTTAAAAAAACCCGTTATTTTTATTCCTGCTTCTTATTCTCACTTCTGTGTCGGCCGGCGGTCCACGACTGCTTCGCCAAACCGGGGCTCCGGACGAGGGCTCTGCCCGCCGACCTCAGGGCATCCATGCCGGGCCGTCGGAGAAGTGTTCCTTCGCGCAGCGGACAGCGGGGGACGGAGGGGCTGCTGGTGCGTTCAGGGGACCGGCCCGCCGCGGACAAGAAGTGGCGCGGCGTTCAGGGGGCGAACGGGACGTGGCGCGGAGAAGATTCACGCGAGATTATGATTATTATTAGCTTGATTTTATTCTGTTGGTTTGTTTTTCTGAATCAGTGTATTGAAGTCAACTGCCCTTAAGGAAGTCTGTTCACCTTTATTTGGTACTGACTTTTCATTTTGATATTGTATTTGAGCACATTTCATTAAAGACTTGTTGAAATGTGGCTGTAGCAGCAACAAAGGGTCTCTCTCTCTAATTCAAAGTAAAAACGAATAATCCCCTGATTATATATATATATATATATATATAAACTATGTGCACAAAATACTTGAGTAATGCTCAATTTGGTTCAGCTGAATGTAACTTTCCGTTGAACTTCCTACTGAGAAACGGGTAATTCCAAGGAGCACCTGAATGTATCACGAGAGCACGACTTTCTAATCTTTTTTAAAACAAAGAATGGAATTAATATTAGTCTAGCGTAACTAGGTGCCTGAGACGTGTATGATTTATTGCCATTGCGGAGATACATTACATTTCTGAAATGTGGCAATTGTCGGTCACCACAAGTTCATTTGAATTTGTCTACTGTTGATTTCTCACAAGGGCAAAATCCACGGATTTCCAGCACACTGACTTGTTGCTGTTTTGACATCCGAGATGTTCTGAGCCACACTGCATCCACCTACTACATCTATTTGTGGGTGAATGATGGTCAGAAGTTTGGCCTCTTCTACGGCACACAAAGGGAAAGATGCACAGACACGCGCTGATCTTCTTGTATTGCCACCAGCAAGACTTTCTTTAATAGTGATGGCCAAAGTGAGAAGAAGTGACACGGCCACCTTCACTGAGTAAAGAAAACAAACATGGCGGAACAATGAAAAGATAAAACAAAGCACTTTTTTCTTCTTCTTTTTTTTTTTTTTTAAACTTCCATCTCGTCCTTCCACAGAAACTTATAAAAGCAACTTCAGAACCGACTTCACAACACCAGAGCGATCCACCACAAATAATACTTTTCCCAGGTAGGCAACATGACAGCACGACATGGTCAAAATGGTTCAGGGGGTAAACAACCCCCCCCCACACACACACACACACACACACACACGCACATCACACACACACACACAATCCTTCCTGGTAGAAAATACAGGAAATCAACTGAATATGAAGGGAAATATCACGGAGGTGACACTTAATAAAAGGTCTCTAACAAATAAATTAACGGGAGTAACACAACCGGCCCATCTGACCACCTCAGACCTTGTAAACACAACACCATCTGAATATGCTCCAATGACAACAAAAATAATAACGGCAACAGCACTCTTCTGCAAACGTTATGCTAGCTACATCGATCAAAGTATGGATGAGCAACCGAACATCAACACTCGGCACTTAAGCACCCGAATGAACAAAGAAAACATTCCTCAGTAAGTCAATGTACATTGTTGTAAACAACTAGATGCCAACTCAAGGGCATGAAAAGACAATCGGGGTGGCTGCCTGTCACTGCGCCACGTCCAGTGTTGTGTCGTCCCTTTTTTTTTTTTTTTTTTAGGTCAGTAACGTCGAGATCGAAAAAGATTGCCTCGTTTTAGCCTTTGATTGATTGTGGAATTAAAAAAGGAACCGAATGTGAGAACTTCTGGATGGAAACAAATCAGAGCGAGCGAGAGAGACGGAGAGCTTTGGAGCTCGATGCTTTTTGATCGCTGGATTGCAAAGTAGGATGTTTCGGAATCTGAAAAAAAAGAGAAAAAGGCAAAAGGCACTGTAAAAATCTGCAAATAACGGCAACAAGCAGTTGCCTCGACATCATTAAGTCCGGTGGACAACGCGGCCTATCGGGCCCTAATTTGGTCCAGCGGGAGCAGAAGTGTGAAAACAGGGCAACGTTAACATTTTGGCAGTGCCTGGTCAAATGTAGCTCAAGAGATTTTATGATTTTCGCATCTTCTTCATCAACCGACCGATAATCCCGTCGTTAACAGGACGAATCGTATGCAAAGGTTTATGATTCCAGCGTGGCCATTTGAGCAGAAACGTACGATGTCGTGAACTCAAACCTAAACATGAATACTTTTACATTCATGATCTCTCTGCTTCACTTCAAAAAGGCAAGTTTCACTCAAACCCAAAACGTGCCTCCGTCCGTGCGTGAAGTCTTTTTTATTAAGTGTGTGCGTGTGTGTGTGTGTGTGTGTGTGGGGGGGTGAAAGAAGACGGACATGAAGCGATGCAGGACGGCTCCTCAGCAGACACTTGACGGATCGGCGGTTCTTCCTTCCTCTCCCGACAGACGGACGCCGCCGTGTGACCAAAACAAAGATTGTACACAACCCTCTCAAATCCATCTATGAGTTCTCCCAATAGAACCCCCCCCCCCACAAAAAAACCCACGCATGTGCAGAGGGGCTCGTGTCCGTATGCTCAACTCAAAATAAATAAAAAAAAAACGACCCGAACGGCGGCGGCGAGCTTGGCCAACGTAAAGGGGGCGACAGAGTCGTGTGGCGCCCGTGGGCGGAGTCACTTTTTGAGGGGCTGGTAGACGGAGGCGTTGGGGTCCAGGGAGGAGGGACTGTTGTCCATGAACTTGGAGGAGTAGTGCGGGGCCACGGGGCTGAGGTTGCTGCCGTCGGAGGAGTAGGACAGGCTGGGCATCACCGCCATCACCTCGGCGATCTTCTGCTTCAGCTCGGCGATCTCCTGCTCCCTCTGGTGGATCTGACCTGGGGGGGGGCGGCACGATTTCGGACGTTAAACGTGGCCTACAGTGGGCTAAGAAACCCAGAGGCTGGTTCAGTTGTTTTCTCAAATGCACTTAAACACTGGCGCCGCCTACCTTGGGCTATCTCCAGCTGCCTCTTGGCGTCGCCCAGCGCGGAGAACAGGTCCAGTTTGATGCGGGTCTCGGCGCTCAGGCTGTTCTCCAGGTGCTGCGTCTTGTCCTGCATGGCCGACAGCGCCGACATCAACACCTCCGTGTCCTTCTCGTTCTCTTTGTACTTCCGCAGCTCCTGGACGTGGCAACGAGGAAGAGGAAGAGCATCGGAAATGAGGCGGCGGGGAGAACGAAAACATTTTATTTGTTGACACCAGAGCCACAAACCTGAGTTCACTCTCGCTCAGAAGGAATCTGGTTGCACCCTATTTTACACTCATTCATTTAAAACAACTCAAATGTCTCACTTTGCAATCAAAGCTGGGCAGCGGGAGCCACAGGGGAGCGATTTATTTAATTACATCAATTAGCGGAGCTAGAATGGCATTTCATTCAGCCTGCTGAGGAGATCTTATTCCAGATTAACTTTAAATCACTTATAATGCTTTGATGACGTAAGAAGCTCAACTTCATTAAGCCTCCCATAATCAGAGAGAGATAACGGTCTTTTCCTCCTCACCTGACACTTGCCCTCCAGATCCCGTATCTGCTCCTCCTTAAGTTTCACGTCCATGCCGAGCTTCTTGCACTCGTTCTCCAGCTCTCTGATGCGGCCGCGCAGGGAGTCAGTCGACTCCACTCTGAACACGAGGCAAAAGAAAGCAGCACTTTAAAACAACGGCAGCAGGCGACTGCCTCCACGAGTCACCGGAGCGCTTCCTTTCCAGTGAAAAGCGCCCGTCGGCGACGCACCTGGTGGCAGCGGCCAACGCCACGGCCCGCGCAGCGGAGGCCTCCTCCATCTTCTTCCGCTTCCGCTCGTCGGCCAGCTGTTTCTCGGCCAGGGCGCGCGCCTCCTGCTCGGCCTTCAGCCTCTTCTCCAGCTGGGAGATGGTCTGCTTGTCCTTCTGCTTGGCCTGGACGGCGCTGTGGAGCCTGCGGCGGGGGGGGAGGAGACGCGGTCAGTCGGCTTGTGGGCCCCCCCCTCCCCCGGGAAAACGTTTTCCCCGGAGGGAGTGAGGCTGACAAACAGCGATGTCGGTTACAGTCAGCCGAGTCTCATCTCAGATTATGCGGGTAGATGAAATCCAGCCTTCTGATTGGTTGAGAGCGAGTCACAGGGTCTACTTTATGGGGCCTTTATGGAGTTTACATTGAGTGTAAATAATAGATACATCTTGCGTGGGGGAAACGAAAGCTTTTGCAACCGGACAATGCAGGTGGACGCCGTGAGCGACGTGAATGAATGAGATTCTGCGACAGCAAGGTGACCTCGGATGTTTCGCGGCTACAACTATTTACTTCCTATTCATAGTGTCGCTGGTAAGCGTATTATAAAAGCAGTAAGGTACCCGAGGCAGCACTTTGTCGTCGCGACGCGCACGTACGCACTTGTTCTGCAGCAGCTCGTTGTCCTGGCGGAGCTGGCCCAGTTCGGAGCGCAGGCTGCGGTCCTGGCTGCTCAGAGAGGAGAGCTGACTCCGCAGATCGGACTCCAGCTGCCTGTTGGCCTGAAGGTCGGCTTTCAGACGCTTCACATCCTGCTCCAGCCTTTCGGAACAAAACAAGGGGTGGGGGGGGGGCACGAGATCATCAAAAAGGCAAGAGAAGTCTCCTGTAACTAGTGGGTGTTTGTGCGCGAGGTGGAGTGGAGCGAACGGGCTTCCATCCCTCGGGCTCCTACCGTACGAGGGCGTCCGGTTTGCCCAGCTGGTTGTTGGGGATGCAGTTCTCCAGCGGGTCCTTCTGCTGCCCCTTCCCCGCCCCCTTCTGCTTCTTCTCGTTCCTCCCCGCGGAGGAACCGGGCGGGACGCTTCCGTTTGAAGCGCTGTGATTCCGCGGGGACGAGTTGGAAATGTTCCCCCCGCCTCCGCTGGCGTTTTTGTAGTTCTTCCCGGCGCCCGGCGCGTCCTCTTTGGACGCAGAGTGGGCGTCGGCGTGCGACGCGTTCTCTCCCGCCAGGTCGTTGTTCAGTCTCTTTCCCCCGACGTAGTTCTCTATATACTCCGCCTCCTGTAGTTTGGAGTCCAGTGTGTGTATAATGCTGTTGTTATTGATTCCTATGGAGTTTTGTTTTTTGCCCTCGCGCTCTTTAGCGGTACTGTCCTTCCCCTTTTCCCGGTACTCCAGCTCCGGCAGCGGGACGGGGGGGCTTTTCTTTCCGGGAGGTGCTCCGTTTTGGGACACAGCGGCGGGTTCTACCTCGGAGATCCCTTTGGCTAAAGCAGCTGGAGGAGAGAACAAGTGGGCAGCAGCGTTAGTTCGGACACAGAGCGATTTAACCACGAAATACAAAGAAGTACCGTTGAACATGGTTGGAGTTTCGGGGGCCGAGACCTCCCGATAAGTGGAGGTGTGGTTCTGTGGTAGCACACACCTGCCCGCTTTGTTTCCCCTCTGCACGAGTGTGCTGCCGACGTCATAATACGCTGTGTGTGTGTGTGTGTGTGTGTGTGTGTGTGTGTCTCACCCTCCTCTGCCTCCCTCTCCTGTCTCTGCAGCATCTGTTGCTCCGGCGGTAAGGCCTGCATTAGGAGCTGCATGTAGAACTCGTTCTCCTTCTGCACCTCCTTCTGTTTCCTCAGTCGCATCTTGTAGCTCACGTAGCTCTTAAAGCCGAAGCCCAGGGTGACCACCGGATAGCCGATACTGGGAGGCGGAGAGAGACACACACAACGTCACCTTTGAACGAAATATTGAAGCACGTGCTATTTAATCACGACGGTCTTTACTATCGGGGCTCTGACAGAAGCCTCTCTGATGACGTTTACCAGTGAGCAGCAAAGGGTCGACACAAGTCCACGTGAAAGTTCTTCAGATCTTTGAACCGTATGGCAGCTTCGATGTACACAAAGAGGATCCACAGCGACACGGTGGGTAGACAGACTCCTCGTTCTGCGTGAGAGGAAGGGGCGAGATTTAAAATTTAAAAACGACACAACTGCGGGTTTCCTGTGAGTCTTCGAGGTGCAAGCGGCGGCCCGCTGAGATGCAACTTGGGACTGACCCGTGTGCCAGACATACTGGACCCATACGTAGGTGCTGGCAGCGAAGAACAGCCATTGGACGGGGATGAAGAGGAGGCAGATGATGTCGGACGTAAACGCCACGCATACGAAGAAAACAGAGAAGGCCTGGGTGGGGGAGAAAGACACGATTATTAGATGTGGCATAACAAACCTCACATGTATGCAGTAACATAGGAGCACGTGCACACTGGAGGGGGGGGGAGGTGGGGGTATGAAAGAGCTCTCACCAGTCCCTGATATCTGAAGGAGTCGTAGACGCTTCGAATGAAAAGCCAGAAGGGCCACAGGTACTCAAACCTGAACTCCAGCACAAAGTCGGCCAGCAGAACCAGCACCCACACCACCAGGAACTTCAGGTACAGGAAGGTGCTGCGAGGACGGGACGGAGAAAGAATCAACCCGTGTATCCGGTGGGATTGCAGTGTGTTCAGATAAAAGTCAGGGTTTCAAACAAGAGTTTCTATGATCAAAGAGGTTGGAGTGGATGAGAGAAGGTCAGAGCTCTAGAAAGTGAGCGCCAGCATCATCCAGCGTCACGTCTGGACATGGTGCCTAGAAGCACAGCTGGTTCCGTTCACCTGGCTTGACCCCTGAGAAGCCCCCCCCCCCCCCCCGCAGTGACAGCGGGGCTCCTTGAATCACACACGCGCTCTGTTCCGGTTTGGTTCCTCCAGATTTAAGGCAGACAAAGCACAGGTGAGAGCCCCGCCGTCGGCGTACACCCCGGTCTGGAAAACGAGCGCGCCTGACATTGCTGCTGTCATCGCCGATCCGCGAGCGTTTTTATTCACTCAAACTCACGCGTTTCATTCAAAGACTGAACGTACATTCGGTTTGAGCGAAATCATTCACACTTAAATCCCGCGAGTGAGTCTCGTCGCTGCCTTTTTAAATTGTGATTTTACGCCAGGATTTGAATTTAACGGTCGAGTGTGTGAGAGAAATAAAAAAAAGCACACAAATACCACACTAGGCCCGTTTTCTCAACACAACGCGAGCGCGTTCATTCAGCCCGCGGCGACCGACGGTCGTCGAAACACAGCGCAGCCTCGTCTTGACATATGCACGGAGGCGCCATTGTTATACAATAACGTCCCAGCCCCCTTTGCCCCCCTACCTGCTATATATACCCTCGGTGATTCGGTTCCGTTTTAACGGCCGTCGGAGTTTGCTGCAGTCCGCATTGCGCCGCTTCATCCTCCCCCGGTTAATTCACTGGTGATATCGGTCTGGTGGCTGTGACTGGAAATGTCCTCCGCTCATTCTAATAATCCCCTCTCCCTCAATTAGCCACCATTGTTGTTGTTTTATGCACATGAAACAAAGAAATAAATAAAAACAGTCCGCTGGAGGACCTCCCCCTTTCACGACAACGCCTGCGTCCCCGTCGCGGCGTGTGACGTCACGCCGACGTCGGAAGCGTGCCAAAAAAAAAAAAGATGGCGGCCCCCGACGAGTCGATACGTCTCGCTCACTTTTAACTTCGCAACTGTTTAATAGTCGCCTCCGGTAAGTGTGTAAACGACGGTGTACCTGGGTGTTTTTTTAAGCTAACGTCCCGTGTGCTGTTGAGTTAACGTTAAAATGAGCCTTTGTAACTGTGACGTTACGCGGTAAACGTCATCCACGCTGCCTCAACCACGTTTAGCTTCGACCGTCTCTGCTGCCTCGGGACGTTTAAAGTCTTATTCAAATGTTTGGATGTAGTAATTCGGACAAAAGCTCGTAACGTAATGTGGATGTGTCGTTTGGAGTTTATTTCCTGCTTATTCAGTGATGAAACAACAGCACATGTTTTTAAATTAAGTCTGCTGATTGTATGTTTAACGTAATATCTACACATTATTTTCATTTACTGTTTTTACTTTTATTTATAAATTACCTCACTGCTGTTGCCTTTGAGAACAAGTTAGCAATCTAAGATGACCAATGTTTCAACAGATCGTATTAACCATGGACAAGATAGAGGAGAGCCTGCCATCTGCCCAGGAAAAAGACAAGGAGGAAGATCTAAAGGAGGAAGATCTTGGGGAGGAAGATCTTGAAGAAGATGATGCTGCAGACGAGGAAGAACTGGGGGATGATAATGAACATGAAGGTGGGGGTGAACAGGAAGACAAGGAGATCCCAAAGGCTGCAGGAAAAAATAAAAAAAGGATTCCATTTCCTGCAAAACCCAGCGGGAAAAAGCGGGATGGGGGTCTGAACCTCAACAACGAGGTGGTGTTGATGAGGAAGGAGGTGAAGAGGGTGAGGGCTTTGGTCATCAGAAAGGTGACACGGCAGATGGGCGCGCTGAAGAAGAAGAAAGGCAAAGAGATGGAAGTTGAGAAGAATCAGAGGAGAGTGACTAGACTGCTGGAGGAGATCCGCGCCATGAAGATCCTCTCCCCGGACCTGGTGGGTTTCTTCTGCATAACTTCTGTTAAAAGTTACTCAAATTGTGTATTTTATGATTCCTCTACAAGTACACATTTAAATCAATAACACAACTTAGAAGTTGGTGACTCTTTTACAAACCATTGATACTTTGTGAAATTAATAATTTGAATATTTCCCCCCTGTTGCCAGGTGACAAAGACAGCCTTGCAGAAGGATCTAGACTTCGAACAAGTGTGCAAAAACCCCAAGTCTGCCATCTCCGACCGAGCCATAGCACGAATCGCCACTCACCCGCAGTTCAAAAAGAAGATCGAGATCATCAAAGCCGCCGTGAAATCCTTCAAAGATGAGTGGATGACGGGTGGAAAGCCGGGAGGGAGGGAAAAGGTGCAAAACAAAGCTGGGAATGTGGCTCCATATTCCCAAGAAGAAAAGGGAGAGGGAAAGAGTGAGAGAACAGAGGAGAACATTAAAGCGGAGCAAAAGGAAATCTTTGACAAAGAGGAAGGGGGAGAAATCCTTGAAGACACTGAAGAAGCGACTGTTGCTGAACCTGAAAAGGAAACGGTGGAAGCACGTCCTTCAGTTGACACTGCAAGTGATCAAAAGAAAACAACAACACCAGCAGCTAAAAATGTACGATTGAATACAATAAAAAGTAGTGAAGTTAAGGACATTGTGAGGAATAAACCTCAAGCTAATCATGCAGAAAAGAAACCAGAGCTTAAGTCTGCGACCAAATTGCTTCAGAAAAAGAAGGATGATGATGATGATGATGAGGAAGCGAGTGATCTGGAGGCTTCGGATGTTGAAGAGAAAGAGTACTTTGACGACAGCACGGAGGAACGGTTCAACAAGCAGTCGTCCCAGTCCGAGGAGAGCGACGACGACGACAACGGCTTCTTTGTTGGAAAAGTGAGCAAATTCAAGAAGAGGAAGAAGAAAAAGAAGCAGAAAAGTGTAGGAGGGGACGAGGCCAATGGAAGGTGTGAGGAGAACCCACCAGACCAATTCCAGAGCGAACTGGACGAACTTGAGACCAGGCTGAAGTCTAAAGCGACTGGTCTTCAGTCCGTCTTTTGTCCCTCGCTCTCTTCTTCCAGGCTTGGCAGGGGCAGAGGAGCAGGTAGAGGGAGGGGCGGCGATAGATTCAGGGGCCACGCTGGTCTCGAAAGGGATTTCAGTACACCTCCCAGGTTCCAAAAGCAGGACAAGGAGGCAGAACCAGGGTCCAAGTACAGCAATCCGTCCTCTGAGTCCTTTCCCTCTGTCGGCAGAGGACGGGGGCGAGGCAGGGGTGGAGGTGGAGGTAGAGGTAGAGGTGCAGGTGTCTTCACCCATCAGGAACCACAGCAGGCACTGCATCCATCCTGGGAGGCTAGTAAGAAAAGAAAGGAGCAGCAAGGACAAATCCTGGCTTTCCAGGGGAAGAAGATCAAGTTTGATGACTGAAAATGTTTGTTTGTTTGTTTGAGAGTGGAACCATACCTGGGGGGGTCCTTTTTGTCTGGCACACTAGTGACACGTAAACATGGTCACTCAGTATGCTGGATCCTCAACCCCAGTGGAGATGACCTCGATACAGTTAAGTGACACATGTGTTGCACAGTGTAAACTACAAACAATCTGAATTGCTTTCTTTTTTTGTATTAAACATCAAGATATTCTTTCAGAATTCTTATTTTAAAACAGGATTTGTACTAAACTTTAAAGTTAAGAACAGTATTATTTACTTTATTTTATACAAACCGTTTAAGATTGGGGGAAGACATTTAGGGAGTGATATTTTTTTATTTTTTTTATGGAAGATTTGTGTAAAACCGGTACAATTTCATTGGTTTGTGCTAAATAATGTGCAGTTATTGTAAAGTACACAACATCTCTAATGGGTTATAGATAATCACAAACCGAATAACGCTGTTTTTGTCACTTGTCCTCACCAAGAAATTGTTACACAACATGAGGTTTGTGTGACAACAGTTTTAATGTGCTTAGCTGTTATTTCAAATTAAATGCAATATTACTGAATTGACAGCTGTGAAACACGCGAGCCACTTTGTTGCCGAGCCCTGTAGCCATTGGTTGGTTATCGCTGCGTCGGCCGGTGACGTCACTGCGTACACAGGCCGTCAGCCAATAGCAGTGGACATGCCAATTTGGTTTGAAACGGCCGCGGGGAGTCTCGCTTTTGCGCGAAGGATACTTTGAGCTTTTTTAGCTTATCACATTGAATACACTATATATTAGTTAGTAAAAATATATAACGTTATGTATATAGATATTACAAGTAAGACGGAAGCAGCCAATGGGGGCCAAAATGAGAGTCCGTGTTTTTCGACGTCGCCGCGTGTTGTTCCGAGAAAACCTCCCCCGTAACGTCGCTCTGCCTCGGCAGCACCGCCGGGGTGACGCCCCGGTTCCACCGGCCGACCGACGGCGCCCAATACGCCGCATCCCGCCATCACCGAACGGACGAGTTTAGGTACGGAGGGGGGCTGTAAATTAGATTACCCGAATGTTCTTTAGGGCCGGGACGACGGGAGAGAAAGGTAACCTAATGCTATGCTAACATGCTAGTTGCTGTCTTGAGTAAAATCATATTCGACACATCGCATTGTCCGTGTTAACGTTAGCGGGTTGACGCTGCCGTTGATTTACAAATACCACACATATTTTCCATCTGGGATTTGATGGAAGGGAACTTAAGGCGTTAACCCGCGTCGCACATGTGGACATTTTTATTGTGTAACCGTTCCGAGCGGTTCGTTTTTCATAGGTCTATGTTTTCTAATGTTATAAGCTTGTGTACTAACTAGCTGCCTGGGTGGTTGATCACATTAGCCACCGGATCACAAGTACAGTACGTTATCTGCGTGTTACATTAGCACCATTTGCAACTCGAAATACAACTTTACTCAGTCAAATACACGAAGATAACTGTCGTCGTTAGCGGAAGTTCGTAGGCGTTCTTCAGAATAAAAGTACATTATAAAATTGATCAAGTAAAATGGGAGGGAAAACGGGTTTACTGCTTCAAAGGTATAGCCCATAGAACATATTAATGTATATGTAACACCAACGCTTCACGCAAGGGTAGCGGACATATTAGTGACATATTTAGTGCTCCTTCAGAGTAATGCCTTGCTAACGTTCCTCGGAGGTTTTTCAGAGAAAGCCTATAGTGATTTTACACATACATGTACACGCCGATGTCTTTGCTTTTCATGCTACATACATGTCCTGCCTCACTTCCCTATCGCGCGCCGGTGTGAATAATGGTAACCACGCTGTTAGTCCCGTACTTTTATTTCGAAGGTTAATTCGTGACGCCTCGGCCACCGCGATGTATTTCCGGTAACTTTACGCTTTACCGCGGGTCTGAGGCATCACACGGCGGCTCGTCGGGACGTACTTTTTTCGCACACTTTGGTCTTTTCGAGTGTCACACACGCGGACAGCCGTCCGTAACCGCCGAGTTTCCGCGGGGACACATCGGTAAGGAGGTGAACTGCGAAGCGTCCCCGTGTCCATTAGAGCCGGGAGTCAACTCACGTTACTGGTAGGCCGTGGGTGAGCGTGGGAGGGGGATGGGGAGATGTTGTTCCAACTAGCTAAACGCACTGCTGAGGGAAGCTAGCTGGTGTCCCCAATCCCCCGGGGTGGTGACAGTCCTCGTCTACGAGGAGATCAAACCCCCTCCAGGTGACCAGAGGAGCACGTCATGTGATGCACAGGCGTGTTCCTTTATTGTACTTGCACACAGGTCAAGTCACAAGTGAGCACAATGGACTCACAACACGTTTATAATGTATTGTAAGCCAAAATGGCTGCCCCGTGACCCACTTGCTGAGACGGTTGTCAATCACAAGTTTAAGATGTATGATATTTTAACTTGATGCATTGCGCGTCATGTTTTTCTCAGGCAAAGAGAAGGCTGGAGCTGGAAGCCGCTGCCCCCCAGGACCTCCAGGATGGTGACTGGACCCCCAAAAAGGAGATGGCCTCTCGGTCCCACACAGCAGCAACGGGTAGGCTGCGTAGTTTAGCTTTTCATGAGCTCACCAGTTCATATGTTTGGTTCCATCTGTAAGCGCATAGACACATGCGATGTGTCTCTCACGTGCTCTCTAAAAAAGGACTTTTCCTAAAGTCTGTCCACCCCTCGAAGTAGAACAGACTCCATTGAGTCACTCAACAGTTAAAAATAACATTAGAGAATTTATGACGACCAAAACGTCCCTCATGTTGTATGGGAAAAAAAAGAGTAAATGAATCAATAAGGAATTTCCACACATGCATAAAAACCCTCGCTCATTTTTATTTTTCAGCTCCCACCCCCAATCCCATAGCGCGCAAGTCCCTGTTCGAGAGGTCGCGCTGTGACACCTCCCTCGGTTTGTTGACGCAGAGGTTCGCGGAGATGCTGAGTCGCTCCGCCGACGGCGTGCTGGACCTGAACCTCGTCGCCC